CGGCGCGACGCGGCCGCAGGCGCCAAAACACCCGGATCCCAATCGGCTCCTCCCGCCTTCCGCCTGCATTTGCTAATAGCCGCTATCCGCGCTCCATCTCTTCCTCGCGCGAGTGAGTGAGGATTCCTTGGGCCCGCCGCCGCCGCCGCGGCAAAGCTTTCTCCCAAATTGCCTCTCGGCTGGCGGTGGCGGGGCGGGCGGCCGCCGGGCCCTCCGCTCCTTCGTCGCTGGTCGGATGGGCGCGCGCCACGCGGCCGACGCCCTCTCGGGTCAATACACCGGACGGACGGGACGGTGGAGGCGGCTGGGCTGGGCGGGTCCGAGGGCGGCGGCCGCGGTGGCGGTGGTGGTAATGGTGGTGGTGAGGGTGGCGATGGCTAGGGCAGTGAGGTGAAGGTGGTGGCGATAGCTGTAGAGAGGGGCTGTTCTGTGGAAGGTGGCGACAAAGGTGATAGCAATGGCGGCGTTGTCGGCCGGACATTTTTGTAGACAGTGGGAAAGTTGACGGCAAAATCGGCTGTAGCTAGGAAAAGGACGGGTTTGTGGGAGGCAGCGATAGTGGAGGCGGTGACGACAGCAATAGCAAGGCAGAGCAGTTCTGAGGATGGTGGCGGCTACAGCTAACGGGGAAGTTCCAAGGCGGCAATGGGGCCATAGGCAGCAGCAGCGGTGCGTAGGGCGGTGGCAACTGTAAAGAGTGATATGTGTTGTTGCCGGAGAGGTGATATTTGCTTGTGTCCATCGAAGTGACAAGCGGGTTTTTCCCCTTTCTCACTTCTTTCTTCACCATGCTCTTTACGAACTGGTTAAATTTTACCCTTGCTCTGTAATCACTCTTATTGTATATTCATCGCATATTTTGTAAGTTTATCTATTCAAATTTACATAATCACCTGTGGTCTGCAGTACAAAAATGCTGCTGAACAAAATTACATAAAATGGTTTTCGTAAATGTAGCACGTACACTGCTAAAGAACAAGAAATCAAATTCTCTACTTTGTACTACAATATATTAAATATTTTAATAAAAAACAGTCTTTACGACTACTGCTATAACACATAATAGTGTACATGCAGTACAGGTCAATTCTTTACATGCCAAGAATATCCAACAACTTCTTCTGTGACGCATCACGGAATACGGTGTCGATGGTATTAGTATTCCTAGGACCTTTGCTATTGCGTGGCTTCAGGTCTGTATTAACTGGTCTGTATGATACTAGTATGAATGATGTGTGAATGTTGAAAAATAATAATAATAACAATTTACCAACAATACAAAATACAAATTACGTAGAATATATAAAATAGAATTACAAAAATGATTTTATTGTCAGTTAGTAATGCCAAAGTGCAATTAAGATAACTTTAGGTCTAGATTGTAAGTTAGTTGTAAGAAAAAGCCCCGCCTGTAGCTGCTTAAGCCGCAAGGCAGCAGCATAACATAAGAATATTCATAGATAATAAATTCCCCTTCTTCTCAGGGTTACTGTGGAGGGGACAAAAGAAAAAAGGTCTGTATTAAGCAGTGACGCACCGCAAATGAGAATATATTAGTCACATCAGGTACGAAAACTTTGCGGATTAATAAACTAAAAAAAGGCAAAATCGAAACTGGTTCATAGGTTTCGGATTTTTTTCGAGTACCTGCGAGTGGAATGAAACCATTATTCACGTTCCTAGAGGCCCAATGCTTTTCTTTCATTTTCAGCGCGCATTTTAAATTATTAATAGGCTAGATTATTGAATAAAAAATATGAGGATACCAATGGCTATTGCTAAGGGTGAGGGAGACGCTCAAAAGATCTCCATCAAAGTAACGGCCAGTGCAGTTTAGTAACATTTATCGAAATATAGTAAGATAAAGCAGCAAGAGTTCTAAATGTGCTATGTGTGACAGGAAAGGGCAATCAAAGTTTCCGATCCGAATGACATCTGTCTTAGCGATGTCTCCGGTAGCGTTATGTAGACATACAACAGTGTAGTGAAGATTTGTACATTATCTTCAAGGATGACTAAGTTGACAGGAAGAATGAGGTCTATAGGGGCGGTGGTATAAATGTGGTTAGGGATGGAAATGAGAATGAGCACGCCTGGAACGGTTTTGAGGGCTGCATTGATGTGAAACCACAGCGACAACTGGGAAGGTGACGCGGTTGTGTGTGGGCGGGGCGTGCTTCTGCGCTCAAATAGGCAGAGCACTTTTAAGGCGGGACGTATTGAGGGAGAGGACGGGGCGCGGTGTAGGCGGGGGAGGTGGGGAGCATATTGGCGGAGGCTGAGGGGTGAGGGTGGCCGAGGAGGTGAGGGTGGTGGAGGAGCGGTGGCGGTGAAGAGGACTTGCCAGGG